CTGAGGACCAGAGAGGCCAAGCTGCCAAGTCAGCACAGCTGAGAAGTGGCACATCTGGAATTTAAACCCGAGTCTGTCTGGCTACAAAGCGTGTGTGTGTGTTTTTTTTTTTTCCCCAAATGATAAGGTTTTTCTGAGGAAGGTGACCTTGCAAATGCTGGTTAACAAGGAAGGCAGTGAGTTGCCTCCAAGCCCTCCGACTGTGAGTCACTGGATCTGGCTTCAGGACAAGGGCAGGACTCTTCAAGTGCAGAAGGATTCCCCGTGAGACGTCTTTGGTTCATCTCCTCCTGGCCAGTTTTTTCCTCTTTTCCAAATTTGCAGCCCAGAATAAGATGTTCATTGTGAAAAGCAAAAAAGAAGCCATCACAAGCCCTGTGGCAGGGATTCATTCCTCACACTGTCGGCCACCGTCTCCAGCTCAGGCCCCAGACCAGCCTCCTCCCAGCAACAGCGCTGTGCCATCCACAAAGGCAAGCCCTGCAGCAGGCTCTTAGGTAAATGATGACTCAGCTTGGCTGCCTTCTTCCCTCTCTCACCTGGAACAAACACCTGTGACCTTGGTTCCCAAAAGAATAAGACAAGAAGGAAAAGGTCCCACGCTTGACTCCCCTCTAGGGCTCAGATCCATGAACCATCCCAGAGAATTTTCCCTCTTTCACCTGGCTGCTTGGCTTTCACTTCCAAGACTAGAATTGGCAGGTAGGAAAAACAGCTCTCTGGTGGAGCAGGAGGGTCCCGTACAGCCTCACGGGTTTCCCACCATGGGCTACTGCAAACCCACTGCCTGCTCTCACACCTATATCTTACCGAGAGAACACCTGCTCGTCTCACTGGTGGCTGGACGTGTTCTTACCTCAGTGGACAAACAGGAGCATCAGGGAGGCTCAGCTCATTCCATGAGGCCTCCTAAGGGCTGGGAGGGATGCTGGCCCCAGGGCTGCGCAGAGGATCCAGTCATCATCCCCACTGTCTAGGATGTCATGGTCTCACATAGCAAACTTCACATAGCATAGTGAGCATGGCACGAGATCAAAGGTCCTCTCTCTCCTTTGTGGGTCATGAATTTGAGGGGGCTCTTCTTGAGCTAAGGCTGGCTAGAGCTGAGGCTGAGCCAAAAGGTGCTGGCACAGCAGAGAGACCAGTGGGATGGGAAGAAATGGATCTCTTCAGCAATTCGGAGTAGCCTGGGTCTCTCTCCAACAGCTCCACCTGACCCCCCCAACACACACACACACATACACACAATAGAGTTTTTGAATCCCCAAGAGCATACCAGGCCCAACGCACACCCTACAACCATCCTGATCCTTCCCAGAGCAAATGTCAGGTACCTACAGCTGCACTGGCTCAGTGCAGACGTCTGGCTGCCCACCTGCCTTGATGAGTGTTGCCAGAAGCCCAATTTCTTTGAGGCCAGGGCCCTGCCTTGTCCCCATCAGTGCTTCTGGAGAATAAAGCTGGCCACCAAAGTCCCCTGACAACCCTATCCTTCTGTCCCTTTTTCAGACAACCCTCTGGTAGAGGACACTGGCCTCTACCAGACATGGCAGGGCCTGCTCGCGTGGCAGCTCCAATGTTCATTCCTGTAGCTTGGCACGTCTGGAACAGCCTCCTCCACCCTCACCAAGCTGTTGACAGCCATGCCCACACAACTCTCTGGCCCAGACATTCCCCAGCAAGCAGGAAGGCAGGCAGGAGCGTTCTCACACCCAGGCAGGGAGAAGCCCCACACGCTCCCTGCCTCCGTCTCTGCTGCCTTTCACCACAGCCCTCAGCTGGTTTTCTGAGTCAGGGAAACACAGCTTCTTGCCTGTTAACCAAGTTGTTTGTTTCAACTCTATAGGGGCTGTGTCCATGACTGTGAACGTTTTTACAGACACCTGTGGGTGCTTTAACAGATGTATGCTCTCAGAAGAGCAAGGGGTGTGTCCACAGTAATAAACCCTTCTGTGTGCCTCTTTCATACTGTCTCATGCTTAACGCCTATGATCTAATTTGAACATAAAAACTAATCCCAGGCTAGGCTGTGGCACAATTATGATCCCCTTTTATAGGTAAGGAAATGAGGGTTCTGACTAAGTAGCCTGGGGCCACACAGCTGCTGGATGGTGGAGTCCGGACCGTAATGTAGGCTCTTATATTTACCTAAAAGTTTACCTGCAAAATTTACATCTAAAACCTCTTTTATTTTATAGGTAAATATAAATAATAAATACAAATGTAAATGTAAATTTATAAAATAGACGTACTTATAAATTTCCCTATGCAATTATTTTTACATTTTATGTTTCACAAAGGTGGCTAAATCAGGTCTCTGCACCACAAATCCTAGCACAATAGAAAAACCACAGCATGCTGTGCCAGCAGCACAGGGCATTCAAATCAGTTTCACCACCATGTGACTTTGGGCAGGTACACAGCACTTTTTTTTTTTTTTTTTTTTTTTTTTTTTTTTTTTTTTTTTTTTTT